GGAGAGCGAGGAGGAGGCTGTGTGCTTTACTTTCCCTGTTTAGTTGGATAGTGTTGTTGATCCTTTCAGTGAAAACCACCTGTGGTTCAAGTCTTTTCCTGGAAACAAACAATTTATTTTACCTGGAGGAAATTTTATAGCTGTATTATACACCTCCAGCCTTTTTATGGCCACTCCTTTATTGGGACCTTATGAAGAGTGAACAGGGAAATAAGACGCTGAAAAAAAAAGAACAAGAAAAGAAAATTTATATATTCAAACTAAATGAGAGTCGCAGAGACTGATTCAAAAGCAGACCTTTGGGTTGTTGGCCAGGTGCTCTGGTGTAGTTTGCTTCTTCTTTCCTATCAAACTTCTCTCGTCCTTATCTCCCCTTCTTCTTTTTTATGTTTGTTACTCTCTTACACCTCTCTTGTAACACCTCTAATCTCCTGGCGCTCATATGACCGTATGCAGTTGCGAACGCAGTAAAACCTCTACTAAAAAACTAAAAGCAGGCCTGATAACGTTTTTGTATCCGGTCTGTTCCAGTCGGGGTATTCATTTATTTATTGACTCCTTGCTACCTGAGCTCGATGTTTCCTCGTTGTTTTATTTCCTGTTGTGTGTACAAAGGATCTGTTTGTACAAGTGTTGACCTGACTCAATTTATGGTTATTTTTAACCTACCCGTTCAAAAGCTGATAAAGCTGTGAATAGGCTGTTACAATCACATTCGATGCATTTAGTGATTGATATGTTTTCCGGAGGTGGTGGTGACAAGTGGGTGGTTGGCGGGTGCTCTGGTGTGGTTTGCTCCTTCTTTCCGATCAAACTTCTATCGTCCCTATCTTCCCTCTTTCTTTTTTGTGTTTGTTACTCTCTTGTAACAACTCTAATCTTCGGCACTTATATGTCCTTATTGTGTTGCAAGTGCCATAAAACACCTACTAAAACAAACAAAGAAGCTGTGAATAGGCTGTTACAATCACATTCGTTGCATTTAGGGACTGATATGTTTTCTCGAGGTGGTGGTGACATAATCTCTCTAGGGGGTGGTTGGTGGGCGGGCGGGTGGGCTTGTGTGGTGTGTGGTTGTTGTTTTTTTACTTCTTGTTAATGTTACTATTATACAAGATTACCCTTTATAATTCATTTTTTATGTCCATCAACCCTGTCTTTGCAAGTTCCAAAAAAAAAAAAATTTGCAACACTTCAAGTTCTTTGTTTCCTTTGGAGAACTTCTGTGGAGTTGCAGCCGGTCTGTAACTTCACCTCTTGTTTCTCTTTCACCTGTGTCTTTTTCACACAGGCACCCGGGTCTCTCTCATATGACACTTATGTCTCTTTCTTTCATAATAATGACACCAGTCTCTTTCATAATGTCACCATTGTGTTTTTCATTATGTCACCGGTATCTCTTTCATAATGACACCTTCGTCTCTTTCCGTTTCTCAGTGTCAGTTGTTTCAACTTTCATTATAAGACGTGAATCATAATATCTATTGTATCATCTTTCAAACGAACCGTGTGGGTGATTGGCGGGTGCCCTGGTGTGGTTTGCTCCTTCTTTTCAATCAAACGTCTGTCGTTCTGATCTCTCCTCCTTCTTTTTTGTGTTTGTTACTCGCTTGTAACACCTTTCATCTTCAGCACTTGGCACTTATAAGACCTTTTTGTGTTGCAAGTGCTGTAAAACTCTTACTAAAACTGACAAAAAACCCCTGCTATTGACAGAAATTCTTACTGTGTTCACATTCACTTTCTTTTTGGTCCACAGATGGAGAAACTGGGTGATCCGAGGTATTTTCACCTGGGTGATGATTCTGTCCTTTGCCGTCCTCATTTACCTAGGACCCCTGGCACTGGTCCTGGTGGTGAGTAACCTACATTCTGAGCCATACTCAGACAATTAGAACAGACATGCAGCTATTACAGAATGGCATCATGCAGAAGAGTTAACGCTCAGATGCTACTGGATCGCTAACTACAACAACAGCAGCCACACTCAGAATAATTAACTTCGTTCGTTTGAAAAATAAAATGAATTGAAGTTAACCGCTCAAAAGAATCACGTCGTTTTTTGGTGGGTTTTTTTTCAAGTTCTTGAAAAGAAATTTAATTGAAGTTTGCTGCTCCAAAGAATTACGTTTGGTTTTTTTTTTCAAGTTCTTGAAAAGAAATCTAATTGTTGTACTGTTCAGAAGGATTAAATTTATTATTATTTTTTTCCCTTGAGTAGCAATTGTTTGGTATTGTTCCAAAGAATTAATTTTTCAATTCTTGTTTTTTTATTTTTTTATTTTTTAGAAAGAATTGAATTGTGTGGCTCAGAATTAAATCTTTATTTTTTTTGGGGGGGGTTCTTTTAAAACAACTGAATTGTGCTGTGCAATGTAATGCCATTCTTTCCCCGCCCCCAACTTATGTAAATTGGATTTTGAATCTGATTTTACTTTATGTGAAGATGAAAAATATTAAATGACTGAAGCAAGTTTTGGATGAGGGGGAATTGCCATTTTGGTTGTAAGGTAACATGACTCCAACAATAACAGTCTATTTAATTTTTTAGACCAAAGAATGCTGTTTCGGGACTGGGAGAGTTATTTTATAATGGTAGTGTATTTTAATTTAGATTAATAAAACCGCAAGTCAGTTCATTTGACGAAATATTCATTCAGGGTTTTTTTTAAATTGACGAGTACTCCTTATTTTGTTTAAATTCATTTTTTTTTTCAAACAAATGAAGTTCATTTTGGGACTCTGTGAGATATAGTGATAGTGTATATTTGGATTGATCATGCCACCTGCTCTCATATGAACTTATACAGTTGGGAGCGCTGTAAAAACTGTACTAAAACTAAAACTAAAACCACCTAGTTCATTAAACTAAGTATTCATTCTCGATCTTATGTTTTTAAAAAATGTATTAAAAAAAGAGAAATTCTTATTCCGTGTATGTTAATTTTTATTTGCAGACTTTTGCCCTTCAAATCAAATGCTTCCACGAGATCATCACCATCGGGTACATCGTTTATCGGTCCTACGACTTGCCGTGGTTCCGGACCCTGAGCTGGTACTTCCTGTTTGCCTCCAACTTTTTCTTCTTCGGGGAAAGCATGATCGGTTACTTTGGAGTGTTGCTGGCTCGCACAGTGAGTATGCTTCGACGTTTTCTTTGCTCGTTCACCACGTAATTTTCTGCCCTGCTGGACATCATTATTTCTTCCATGTAGGGCGCCTGTATAGTACAAATATAGTTGGCCATGTGATAGAACTGGTTAGCCCATGAAACAAAGAAGGATTTGGTTTATCAAACAGCAATGTGCAGCCAGATGTTTGGCTTTATTTCTGATGTCTCCCCCC